GAAAAAATTGAATGAGTCAATTTTGTGAAGCTCAATTTTGAAATATTCTTTCAAGATAATATTGCAATTTAATCTTAAGTTATGATCACGTGAAATCAATCTGCATAATTATTCACGCATATTTACATATACAATTAAATGCATTGGCGAAGGTGATGGTCTCGTAAAAAACATAAGGTACCATAGTCATTCAATCCACTTCCATAAACATTGTTGTCCCAAACTCGTGCAAAGGAAATTCCTTGGTGAATAATCCATTTCTGCACGTGATTATATTTAAACCCTAGCCCGGTTATACTCTGGATTATTCATCAGGATATATGATAATATTTGTAACTTACACTGAAACAGAACTAGAACTAGCAAAATCTCAGAATATAAATAGCCGTTTAGGTCATTTGATTCTGGCATTTAAATTAATAGCAAAAAACCAATTGAGGTACCTTGTCAACATGTCAGGGTCTACACCGTCCCACTTTAGATCTTCAACTATCTCAGCAATATGTTCTCTCCGTTGCTTGAACTCCAGGGACTCAAGAATTTGGGCTGGAACTCTGATGAGTGACTGGTTGAAGTCGTTTCTTCAGACCCTCGATATGTCGGCTCGGAAGGCTGGACACATAGATGAACAACAAGCCTCAGAAGTTTGGACTCTCGGCTAAGAAATAGTAGCGGCGACCAGACAGAAAATGGTGGTTCTGGGTTTCAGCCACCAAACTGATCGTGGTGGGCGGCCATGGCTCGAAAATAGCGTGAAGATGCGGAGAACAAGGTTCGCCGAGGTGTGACTTCGAAAGCGGACGCGGTGGTCGGCAGCGGACGGTCTGTTATACGCGGTGATCCGAAATCGTGAACCTGAACAGAGGAGGCGGCGGCCGGACTTGCAGACGCGATTTGATGATGGTTCGCCGGAAAAATTCATGTCTGGACGGGTGGACGACTATGCTGGAAAAGGAGCAGCAGGGTTATCCGGACGAGAGAGCAGCAGACATTTGACGGCCTTGCTCGGTTGGACCAGAAAGGGTCACGCTCGTGGTGGTCGGGAGAAATTGGTGATGGCGTGACTGAAACTGGAAGAGTTGTACGTGCGTTCGGTCGTTCAATAAACATTTGAATGTCTGTGCTGTCATTTCGAATATAGGTAATTCAAGAAATCAGACTCCATTTCAGGAACCTGAAAATTTTGAACGTTTTAGGATGTTGTGCAGGTATATCTTTACGTAAGCTAAAGTAACTTTAGAAAAAAATACAAATATTGAATGTGTTATCAGTTATTTAGCAGAATTCTTCCACCTGAGGTGCACAAATATCTTCATACTTTCAACAAGTACCCATTTATATTATTTAACTCCCAAGTTAAGGATTGTTGTGGCATCAGATGCAGGTAGAAAGATTATACACAATGATAATACACAAAACATTTTGAATAACAAACTTACGACACAATCATCAAGAAAACCACACCAAGCAATTGCAATCTTTGTCTATCCATGACATTTCTAAGAGTATAACCATAACAGTTAGATACAATTTTGGCCGTGAAGCGTCTAGCTTCAAGGTCAAGATCCGGCCACTCACTCACTATTCTTTTAGCTCCCTACAGTGGAAATAAAATTTGGAAAGTAGGTAAGAAGACAACATGCAAAAAAGTGATGCGAGAGAATGGGGTATTAACGTTAAGATTCAGAGATGATTCAAAATTACAATTTTCAAAACCCCTCTTCACGTTTCTAATACAAATATTATTCATAAAGTCTTTAATAATCCAAGCCGACATTGTCAAACATCTACGGGGTTTTCTTGTTATTATCCCAAACCTCTCATAAGTATATATTCTAGATTTGAGTTCGTTTTACCTGAAGCTTGGGCTCTTTTGCCATGGGATTGTTGCAAAGGTAAATGGTTTTTGCCTTGGATTTGGTGGCATTACCACACCAAGACTCGCACCATAGCCACTCTTGTGGAAGGGAAAATATGGGCACCATCTGTTGAGCATAGTTTGGAAGATCCTGTACAACAGCATAAAATGTTTAAAATGTACATACTTGAAAAAAAATTAAAAAAATATATGAAAATACAAATCAAATACGACTAAAAGAAACTAAAATTAGGGGTGTTAATTAATATATTTTTTCCGCTTGCCTGATCAAGATTAGAAAGACTATTTGGATCTTTGCTTAGAGTTTCGTAAACTACTCTCAATTGGTCTCCAGCTGCTGTTTCCCGAAATTTGACAAGATTAACCACATATAAAGCACTACAAGAATATAAGATATGCCAGGTGAGAAAGATTATAA